AAGACCTTGAAATTCCGGAAGTCCATCAACAATGTAGATAGGCAAACTGTTAGGTATTGGGTTTATGACATGGACGCCTGTTTACGCTATTTTTGAATGCGTCCCCTTTTTTCTTCGCGTTAATTAATTTTTCTTTCAAATTGGCCACGAAGCCCAGGAAGCGTTTTATGGCTGCAGAAACATATATTTTCTGCGGGCCACATATCTTCTCGGTGCTCACTCGTAAACATTCAATAGACATTGACATGTCATAAAACCTTTCGCGTCACTCTGATCCCGCCCAAAGTCCCGTTACGCGCGGGCTACCCTTGGGCCTCACTCCCCCGCCATCGCGACATACCACCACCCTGCCAACTTGGAAATTCCAGGGTGGGCGGCATGCTCGCGGGCCAGGGAGGACCGCCCAAGGGGGTAGACCCGTTCCCATTCGCGGAGACCGTCCCCTTATACCCCTAAACCTTTTTATAAATAAGCGCACCAACGCGGCGCACAATCCTGCGCCACCACTCTCGAACATACCGCTTGTTCGAAGCGCGCGACGCAACAATATTTTAAAGCAATATTTCTCAATATTACTTACTGCTGACGATAAATGAATGAATTCTAAAATAATTTTTCAAAATTTTCTAGAAATTATTTGTATATTCGTGCAACTGCATTAATAGAAACTATTCCTAAACATATAAATACCTCATACAAGGTGAACCACTTAACGTGACTGCCTCAATCATTTTCATTATTAGTGGACCGATCAAAATTTCTTTTATCACAGATGATAGGATTTCGAAGGACCTTCAAGGTGATGACCATAGATATTTTCTGTCTCTTTTTAAAATAAGTATTGTTAAGTCATTAGGATTAGTACGTTTCCAAACGTGGGTCTGGAAATTCCTCGGTCTTTCATAAACTTGGAAGGCCATCGAGCATTTTACTTCCATTTTGAATTTCGATGTTTTTTTTTTATGGCCATTCTGCACATCTGCTTGCCATACTTTAGCTTTCTATTCCTTTGATTTCTATTTGACCATGCTTCATTAGTGTTGCGTCGCGATCTTTTGCGATGTCCAAAAAGAAGCTCGCGGTCGCGATTGTTACCCGCCAAATTAATCTTAGGTAACTAGTTCAAATTTGTTTTGCTGATACGTAGCAAAACGTAGAGTGCATCACGAAACGATTGACGACTTGTTTGAAAACTCCAGTATTCGATCGCGACTCGAAGTGTACTGGTGTCTCCTCGAACGGCTGGAGATCTAACGGTGTTCGCACGATGGAACCTTTTCTGAATCTCTCGCTCGATTCCCGAATTTTTCTGGAGTCCGCAGTGACTGCCCCGCCAAGTGCAAGAAGGCACGCTGATTGGTTTTTCACGTACGCACAAATTACCAATCAACGTGCCCCTTGAGTGTCACCCACCCTTCCATTGCGCCCTTAGCGCGCTTTTCCTTGGAAGGAGTGGGGCCCTACCTGCGGGTGCGTGGAATCTTCGCTGTCCTTCGGTGACGCGTCGGAAATTCCCGCCAGGTCAACCCAAATTACTTATTTTTTCGCGGAGCTACGAAGCGTCTTTGTTCTCAAAAATAACCTCCTCGTGCGAGCGTGCCATAAACCCGGTCAACGAAGACCCCATGCGTTCCGTACCTGCGCGACGGAACAATTAGCATCGAAGCGCTACCCAGATTTGTTACCTGCTGCGGCAGGCAGGCATCCCCTTAGTAAGTTTTCGTTACCTTATGATTGCCAATCCTGTTAGATTCAACCACCTCCCTTGTCGAGTTCGAAAATGTAGTTGACCAACCCGCGTGTCTCACCCCCGCTAAAGGCTCGTATTCGAGGTGCCTTGGAAAGTGTCCGAGCTCTCGATAGATAGAATTCATTTGACCACGCTACGAGTAGTTCCTCAGAAATTAGTCAATATTAATAGTTATTTGTCCTCCTAAAACGGAGGTGGTCCTTCGAGCCTTGGAAAGTGTCCGAGCCCTCGATAGATAGAATTCATTTGACCACGCTACGAGTACTTCCTCAGAAATTAGTCAATATTAATAGTTATTTGTCCTCCTAAAACGGAGGTGGTCCTTCGAGAAACGAACTTAGTAAATTTAGTCGGCACACCACGTGCAAAATCGACAAAGGTCGACAGTTATTTGCAACTACTACAAGCAAGATTCAAGACCAAATTCAATTCCTTTGTGTAGAATCCTGTACAATTACTGTGGCTTTTTCCCTATTAGCTAGCAGACATTGAGACGAATTCAACGACCACAATATAATACATTTTCTTATATGTAAAATTTATACATAAAAACATTAAGCGTGACCTACTCAAGGTTAACTTACTTAAAAAAAGAGATATAGACAAAATGTAAGGTCAATACATTGGAGGTCCTTTGAAACAGTATCCTCTATGACCAAAGTTTGGAGCGGTCTGCTAATAATGAAAGTAATTAAGGTGGTCACGTTAGCTGAACCACCCTGTACATAATGACGAGTCTAACTGATCAGAGTTAAAGGCCCAGATTTAATATCTTCTACAAGTTCATCTTCAAGTTAGAGATTACTGAAGGATGTGGAAAAATGTCGAAGGAAAGGTACGAATTAGAAAAGATATTGACTTTAAAATTTATTTACACATGCTACACAATATACAGTATAAGATATGAAGACTCGCGTGCGACCTTTTGGACGCTCTAAAGGATTGCACCAAGTTCACTCATAATTTGCCGCTATGTGACACCACATAGTCGTATCGCTGAAAAAATTGCACATCGCCGTGGTAAAAGTTATAATGCGGGAAGTGTAACACTGACAGGTCGAGTAACAAGAATTTAACAAAACAAAATGCAATTCGTACAACAACAACAACAGATGTTACAAGAAAAACACAATTCGGATGGCACCAACGCGTACTACACAGCAAAAATATAATTAACCTATAGTATTCTATATCAGAACACAAATATAACTAGCTTGTGAAATTCATGAATACAAATAATTCGATTCAATTTTCGTATCTAGCTTATTCCCCCCCCTCCACTTACTTTAACCTTACAATATGGAATCAATGAATTTTTCGCTTAATATCAGTTTGCAAGAAGAGAATAAAAAGTTTAACAAAGTGCTACACAGTCAAGTACTTTTTTACGTGTACTCGTGTACGCGTATCGATACGCTTGTCGTTCCATATTCTAAGTTATCGAATTATTCCCTTTAATTGAAATCGCCGAGTGTACGCGTAATTATGGCTACTTGTATAAACAAGAACACGAAGAACGTTATTTAACGAAAGAGTCGCCGAGGAAGCTACACTTTTGACGAGAAGAGGACAAAAGGAACGGATCAACAACTTTCGTTCGGCTGAACGCAAAATAATCGCACCGGCCAATTATTGTACGTTATACACATACTGCTGTTTCTCTCCTGTTTTGTATAGTACGGCAGGCACGCACACTTATGCACACGTATACTATAATATTTGGACATTTGTACTTGATGTATTTATAATCGCGTGTATAACAAAATATTCGAAGCTACTTCTTCTTTTTCCGCTCCAAGAATCGTCGAACCTCATCTAAATAGGTGTAGTTTGCACTGTCGTACATTTCACTGCGATACTTTTTATAATAGTAAATTCAGAGCAATATAGTTTGAAGTTATAACCTTAGTTTCATAATAGTGTTATACATCTGCACGAAAATTTACGAAGAGATGTTGATTTACGCCTTACTTCGTAATATGTTGAACATTTGAAATTCCTCTTAACCGTTTAAATAATTCGAATGTCTGTTAGGCCTACATCTGAAAAAGTACATGTATATTTCTTGAAAATACACACGGCTTGTTGGTAATAATAATCATCGGGATAATGCAAATTGGATAAAACTTTTTTAAAACCATTTCAGACGTAACAAAATTATTTAAGTAAGCATAGACGTAGGAAGAAATACATAACACAATACATCCACATTTACACTATAATTCCTCTTAAATCAATGGTTACCCACATAAGAGAAAGACGTGGACGAACACAATAACTTAAACTTTAATCAGTCAAACAGTTTCACAATGCAAACCATACCACAGTCTTCGAGCTTAAGTAATTTGGTCGAGTTTCCAACAGAAATTTCTTCTCCTAATCTTATCGTATGATATAAATATCATTTGTACGACAGCGAATCGTCTCAGAATTCGATTTACGAATAGCTAAACAATCATCTCGGGAAATGAGAGATAAGGATTGTTCGTTATTTTTCTACATAGCCTGTATTCACCCTTAGTTAATCTCAGGTATAACACGGGTGTCTCAGGTACTCTTTCAAATGAATTTTCGTTGAATCTATAACAAAAGATACCTCGAATCTTAATAAATAAATAAATACAAAAATCTCAATAATATTATTTGGTAAAATTTTGTATAAAATTACTTCGCTTCTGTGACAAGATGGAAGAGAGACACGCATGATGTAAAAAAACAAGGATCTCGGATGAAAAGCGACAAAATTGTGATGTGACTGTTTATGAGAAGAAGAAAAAACAGAGAAATAATTGAATTTTACTAAATATAATAATTTTGTGTCCCTTGAAAAAATTTCCTTTCAATGTGGAGTCAAATGTGTGAAAATTTATTTCGTATCATTTATTTACCGCTTACTTCTATAAATCACTTTTGTTTGTTTTTATCCCAAGTCCCGTGAAAATTCTGAAGAATATGTCAGACGTACAATAATTTTACTGTTTTGTACGTTGGATCGTTGATCCAAATAAATGTTTCACAGTTTTCGTTCGTACAAAATCTTATTGTGTTAGTTACTTTCACAATGATGCGATAGTAAGGAATATGCAAAACTCAAACTGAAACAACCTTGTATTCTTAAACGCTAATTTTCAATTAGCGTTGTATATACATAGTAAAACTCTTTCTAGTACATATCGTTGCGTATTCATCTTACGTATGTAAATACGAAATGTAACGTTTAATCAATTTACAATCTTACTAATTTGCCTTGCTAGTTCAACTAATACAAAGAAATTCAATTCTTTAGAAATGAAAGAGTATCAAGAATTAATACTTATTGCACTTAAATCTTTGGTAACTAGTTGGTCTCCCAATATGCGCCAATGAATTTCTAATTGCAACAATGCGTTTACGTAAAAAAGGTAGATTTCAAACGACATATTTGCCCTTCTTTGTTGAACACCATTTGCTAGATAAAAAGTCGAAAAAAGTACCTGATTCGCGTCGTTAATTGAAGAAATTCGAAAATCTTCATCACTCTCTAACTACGTGATTTCTTGCCCTTAGAAAAATACTTTTTGTGAGAGTACAAGAGAAAATAAACGAAAATTTATTAAATGATATCCTGACCATTCTCAACTTGACAACCATAATTGTCCTTATCTTTGTTCGAATCGTTATTTTTATCTTCGTTCCCTTGTTCTACGGTATCCTCCTCTTGTTCTTTATCTTTTCCGTCGTTCTCAGCGGAAGCAAAATCTTCGCTTTTATCTGCCGAGTTCGCAGAATGAGATTTGTTCAGGAGAGAACTGAACTCACCGAATTTCAAAATCTCTTCCATGGCTGACTGTTCCAAGTTTACCTGTCACAGATATTTCAACCGTTATTTCTCGGATTCGTACAAACTTTTGTATCAAATTCTACGAAATAATTTTCAGAAAAAACGAAGACGAATGTTCAATTTCATTTGCTGTAGTTTGCGTTTGCTTACCATTGTGAACGAAAAACTTTTGAAACATTCAGAATGAAACTGAAAATAACCAAGTTCGTTCTTACTCCTTGGCGTTCAAGTAAAAAGGGGAGAAAAAAGAAAGAAAAAGCCGATGTTATTTATGAAAATGTTAGCAACTGAAACGAAAAGTTTGTACATGTTTTTACGCAAAGCGTTGAAACGCCGGAAAAGCGGTATTACGTAAAAATATCTAACCTTTCGTGGTCTGCCCCTTTTCCCTTTACCAGGTACGGAAGGTGCCGAATGACAACTCGAACTCGATAAACTATTCTTCCTCTTCGGCCACTGCAAGTGTGAGTCTAAATGCTGCTTCAGTTTGTCCTGCCTGGCAAACATTCGGGGACAGATGCTACAAGCAAACGGTCGTTCACCGGTGTGAACTCTTCTGTGTCTAGCCAAATGAGACGCTCTCGTGAAGGCTAAAGTGCATAAGTCGCATGAAAACGGTTTGTATTGCGCTTTCTCAGATTTCGGCAGTATCGGCCTGCTATCTTTTCCTTCGTTTAATCCTGCCCGTTTCGTGAGAATATCGCTCTTTTTCTTGACAGTTAACCTTGGATTGTCGTCCGACCTCTTCGAAGAGTCCTGAAAACAAGGTGACGATATAATAGAAATTAATGCTAGAAACGGTAATGAATCTGAACTTACAAGAACACTCGTAATGATCAATTTTGCGTTCGACAAAGCAACATGTATTTTGCTTATTCGTAGAATCAAAGAATTAACTCCGATAAATTAGCATTGACTGTTATAACTATCGACGAAGCTCAATACGCGTAATTTCAATGGAAAATAGTCAAATATCGACGATCTCGAATGTACAACCAATTTTAATCGTGATCATCTCTTCGTACCAGACTTGTATCTCGTTCTTGTAAGTCGTCGTTCATTTGTGTGTCCGATACCGTAGGCTCCACTGATCCATTGTTGAAATTCGGCTCAGATTTAACCGCATTCGGCGAATCCTCGTAACTTTCATCCCTGGTAGAATCGTCCCTCGAAATTATGCGTTCCTTTGCTCTGAAATCCAGTGGATCGCTGTTCCTCGTAGAACGTCCCACAGAGACTCTTTTCTGACCTTTGAATCTGGTTTCTCGTTTATACATTGGCGGTGGCATACGTCTCTAAGTGAGTTAAGAAAACTACATTATCCATAAACAAAATTCTACTCTTATAAACGTATTAACGTATTACCTGCCAATATGATTCATTTCTGAAGAACTCTTTGTTAATGAAAAATGACGGTTTGTTTAACCCTCGGAAGGCGAATGGTTTTACAGACGAATGCAGGGTCATTTTAACTCGTAGCAAAGTGTCTATTCTACACGGGTTTTAAGAAGGAATTGGGTATAAATGTGTATACTTTATACTGAGCCGCCTGACTTTATCGCTGTTGAGTCAAAATGACCCTGCATTCGTCGTACGAGGGTTAAACAATGTAAAGAAGAACGATTTAAAAGCAACGTTACGTTAGCAGGCCTTTGAATATTATAACATCTAAATGTAATAGCATCGGGAATAAATAAACTAGTAGAGTTTTTATTCTTTAAAAATATGTATTTGAAAATAATTGAAACTTTTATAACTGGAGACATTGTTCTCTCAAATCTCCGAGTGCAAAGTGTATTTTTGAGGAAATTAACAAATAACATTTCAGTTAACTTCATTAGTACGTCACCGCGTACAGATACTAATCTTCCTACTAAATTTTAATCATCGATCTTTAGTTCTGTGTCATTTTTTATTGAATGGTCACTTGGGCAACTGAAGAAAAACTAAGTTCATAAGGCCCAGGAAAAAAAAACAGTAAAAATCCTCTTTGATATTTCGTTAACATTTGAAGTCTTCTTTGGGTTAATTAAAGAACACATCTTCGTTACGATATAGGAAATACTACAGTGAAAATAGAAACATTGGACTACGTAAGAAAGACCTTGAAATTCCGGAAGTCCATCAACAATGTAGATAGGCAAACTGTTAGGTATTGGGTTTATGACATGGACGCCTGTTTACGCTATTCCGGTGCTCACTCGTAAACATTCAATAGACATTGACATGTCATAAAACCTTTCGCGTCACTCTGATCGCCCAAAATCCCGTTGTGAGCGGGCTACCCTTGGGCCTCACTCCCCCGCCATCGCGACATACCACCACCCTGCCAACTTGGAAATTCCAGGGTGGGTGGCATGCTCGCGGGCCAGGGAGGACCGTCCAAGGGGGTAGACCCGTCCTCATTGGCGGAAACCACCACCTTGTACCCGTACACCCATTTATAAATAAGCGCACCAATGCGGCAAAAAGACGTAACGAAAACACACCACCTAAAATTGTCACTCTTCAACATAAAGCCTTCGTCTTCCAACATATTAAAGTACGTGAACACACACCACCTAAAATTGTCACTCTTCAACATAAAGCCTTCGTCTTCCAACATATTAAAGTACGTGCAAACTCTAAGTCACCACGACTTCACACCAACAACCAACCCACACCAAAAACCACCGACAATCCTGCGCCACCAATCTCGAGCATACCGCTTGCTCGAAGCGCACGACGCAACACAAACAAAAGCTTAATAAAGAAGACAAAAGTACCGTGGAATATACAAAAGTCAATCCTCCCTAAATATACACAGCGATACAGAGCTAAAGTGGGCAAATAAATATCTTATTGTAGAATTCCAACACGCAACCTACCCAAGTAAATGGGTACACCTAAATATTTCCATTGTTTGTAGATATATTATATGAAAGAACTGTTTAAAGGAATGAACAAAATGATAAAAAGAGAAATCTCTTTCATGGTCATCGGTATTTTTCTGTTATTTTTTTTATATCTTTACAGAGAATAAAAAGACAAATTCTACAACCTTCACAACGTATCATTCCGATCATTTAATCTCGAAATATTTTCATACGAAGGTAATAGGTAAATATTTTTTGTAATTATTGAATACATATCAACTCCTCAAATGTAAAATACACCTTATGTTTATTACTTTGATTAATGTTATTAAGTGTAGAACGGAAGAAACTATACAGTTAGATCAAATGATTATTTATGGTTTCTTCAGAATTAACGAGCGATAGATTTACAGTGCATACCCAAAAGATAGCACACGTTATATTTTTGCATATTTCATAGAATTTTATGGAATTTTATGAAACCTAAGTCATTGTGTATGTGCTCTACATTCCTTTTAAGAAAAGATATACAAACCATTAATTGAGTAGAACATGTTTCGATAGACTACTACAAGCTTTGTGGTGAAGTGTGATGGTAGGTGTACAATTCGCCCGGAAAATACAATTTCTCACTCACCTCGGTGTCATAAATTACACTATTATCCATACCGTATTGTAAACGAGAAAGTTTGGCTATTTTGCGATTACGATGGAGCAACGATTTATTTTTTATAATATCATCGAAAACAGTAAAAGCGACTGTGCAGTAAAGTGAATTCACCGACCCGGCCGTAACATCAGCTGCTGAGGGTTGCCTTGAAAGGTCAGGATCGGCACAATGATCCACTTCCGTCGAAGCAGGTTAATTCGTGGACGAATGGGTAAGTTTTTCACAAGTAATACAACACTTTATTTTTTTCGGATAACGAATAAAAGTGTCGAAAACAGTTATTAACACTGTAGCGACCAGCTACAGCGGAAAACATTTGGCGAGCAGACTACCAGCACGGTTTATGACGTGCGCGCTTGAAAGGCTATTTTTGAGGAAACCGTTTTTAGCTTATTTAATTTCTAAAAATTCGACAATGCATGTCCGCGTAGAAACTTTCTCCGACGGCCTCAATAGCAAATTGCCGCATCATAAACCAAGGGTTTCCGAAAGGTCAGCCGTACGAGGCCCAGAGGCCCGAACCGGCAGGTCACGAGTACTTGACCTGGAGGAAACTCAGCTGCCCGCCAAGTGACGTCAGGGGAAAAACCTCCCCCGCCAAGTCGCACTGCGGTCCCCGAAAAAGCGTGCCAAGGGCGCAAGGGACACGCAGCGACTTGGGGAGAGAAATTACCTGATTGGTTAACACCGATGCGACGACCTAACCTAACCAATCAGGTACGATTAACAGAGAGCTAAAAGTTAATAAGAAAAAGCGAGGCGTGAGGAGGCAGTCAGGCACGGACCTCCAACGCCGACAGTCCATTTAAATAAAGATCGTACTAATACCGTGAGGGTACTTAGCGAAACCCTACACACGTTTCGTTATTTATAATAATAACCATATTCCTTCAACACGTTGAATGCCGTGGGGGTAATAGGTGACCGGCGGTCTCAAAATTAGTAAAAGCATTTCATTTGAACAAATGGTGGTATTTGTAAAATTTTCACCTAATGCATCACACAGCATATTTAAATAGTTTTATTTCTAACTATTGACATATTATTTATGCATATTGCAATGTGTTGTATTAGATGTGTGTTGTATTCTTTTCGGCACCGTGGACAAGTTACGTAGAATTGGTCCGGCATTCAACGTGTTAAATGACTTATTAGTTTATTTGTTATTCATGAATAACGAATAATTCCAGATTATTTTTAATTTAAGACGATGTAACATTTGCCGCACTCATCCCTCGATACCCACGCTGTGCCAGTGCGTTTGTTCACGATCGCGCGCGGATGAATCTCTGCGCTCCCATGTCTGGGCGCGGGCTCTACGCGCGCTCTGATTGGCCAATGTTTTTCGTTAATAATTCAAAAACGAAGCTTCAACCAACATTTTGGCAAAGGAAAAAGTTATTCAGAGTCACCCCAGCAACCCCCCATTTCCGGGTGTTACACTCTTTACGAAACACCCTGTATATCGTAGCAGTTGTAAACCTAATGACGATCTTGAAATTGAAAAAAAAACACCTTGAAGAGATTTTTCTTTTTGTCATTTTGTTCATCTCTTCAAACAGTTTAACTTCGCTCTAAACAAGTTTTTCATATATCTATAAGCAGCGGAGATATTTAGTTGTACCCATTTACATGCGTTATGCTGTATACAGGGTGTTGCATTTAAACGAGAACGGTGGAATATCTCACGAGGAATTGAATCTGCGAAAATAATGTTCCTACAAAAGTTGTTTGGTATAAAGGAACACATTATGTGGTATTAATTATTTCTCTGTAAATGTAATAGCGAGGAAGATATCATAGTCAAGTTAATTTTTTTTTTAATGGAACCCTGTATTTTTTTATTCACAACACGGTAGCGTTTGTTGAGACGAATTCAACGATGTACCACACGAAGTCATTTTCTTTTATGAAAAATCGTAAACTTAGTGAAGAATCGGGGAGTCAGGTCAAATGCTACTAATACAAATACTCCACGATTTTACAACTTTCCATAAAACCAAATAACCCAATGTGGCACTTCGTTGAATTCGTCTCAGCAAACGGTATAATATTAAAAATAGAAGAAGATAACGTTCCATTTAAAAAGATTAACTTGACTTTGATATCTCACCCACTACTACACCTACAGAAAAGTTATTTAGACCACCTAATCATCCCCTATATACCGAACAACTTTTGTAAGAACATTTTTTTTACTATACTTCAATCCTTCGTGAGATATTCCACCGTTTCCAGTTAAGCGGAACACCCTGTATGTATAACCTAACTAGGTAAACCACTTACAGACGAAACCTGAGTACTGTGCAGAGATGAGAAATTCCCTGACATAACGAACGCAGGTCTGATTGGTTACAGTGTAATAGGCCCACCTTCTCTTACAGCAGCGCTGTTCAAAGTTGTCTCTCGGAAGACAAACGCCGCCCCCCATCGTCCGCCGTTATCATAGTACAAAGTCGCTGCAGACAATAAGCTTCTTTGACTACGAAAACGTTAGGCTTTTATGGTCGCTTCCTTAGCATCGCGCGATTTCCTTGACGACGAAGACACGCTGCGCTAAAAGAACGCTCTGGCGGGGAAGCAGGCGCGCGAGGGGCCCCTACGCTGGACAACAACAAACTACGCACTCTCTTACACCATCGTAAAGACAAGGTACGTGTATTTTTGTTATTGGCCAAAACGGTCACATCTACTAATCGGGTCATGTAACGTCGCGTGACGAAGAGAACAAACGGGACACGCCGAAATTGAATGAGATAGAGCGATGAAC